ATTTCCTCTATTTATTATCAAATCTATGACAGTCATAAGGGTCAGAGAAACCTGTCAAAACCGCTTTACCCTAATCTGGGGAACAGGCACACACAGGATTGTTAAACATTTAAACATTATCCACTATCCTTTTTGGAATTCCTGAAAAGCCAAAAAGTCTTGACTTCTGTAAGAAAATAAAAGTGATGATAGAGGCATCTTTCAGTCAAAGTACTTGAGGTAGTCATTTCTGACATTCCCTTGGAAGATGATTTGAAAGACAGTATTTCTTTAATAACTTTGTAAAGTCTGCCCTCTACTGTTTTTGAGAGTAAATACAGTCAATATCCATATATTTATTTCCTGTATGAGATGAGTTGCTTTTATTTATTTACATTTACTGAGTGGCATAAAATGAATGTGCCAGGCAGTAAACACACAGCTTTACAAGACTGACCCATTTCAGTCTTACTACAGTCCTCTGAATTAAATCAAGTGCTATTATTCCTATTTCACATCGAAGGAAACATGCTCAGAAAGATTAAATAAGCTTGCTGAGGATGCACAGGAATAAGTTAAAGTTCCTGAATTGTGGCCCTGATGTGTTTAATGCTAATGCATATGGTTTTTCATCTATGTCACATTGCCTCCATCTTGCCTATAAATTGACAATATATTAAGCAGATACATCTTTATTTATTGATGTCCATTATTGTTTCAGAGAACCATTTCAGACACACATTCAAACTCAAAGTTGATCACAATACATTCTAAGGACAAGACAGCCTTGCACATGTGTATATGCGTACATATATGTATATTTATATATATTATGGAACATATGTATATTTAAGTCATATATCTAGAACATAGAAAAAAGGTGTGACAGATTGTTTGATGCATGCCTCCAAGTATGTATGAGCTTTTGTAACGTGACTGTGCCTTTCATTTCAAAGTCTATTTCTCCACAATTAATAATCTACTAGTCAAATGTAGTCGCTTGAGTAAGTTCAAGCAAAACTAGTAGAGGAATCAACAACCAAAGCACAAAAAAGTGATAAGTCATTATTTTACTACAGTTTTATTATTCTTATAAATCAATGATGAGTTATTACCACCAAATTTGAGGTCCATGGCAACAGATAACTGAAACAAAATATCTAAAATAAGAAAAAATAAGTAAAATGTTTAAACAGAAACTTCACCAAAAAAGGTGTTCAGATAGCAAATAATACAAAGATTTTTAACTTCATTTATCAAAGAAATGTATAATAAAACCATAATACTAGTAAACCACAGAGAGGCAAAAATTTTAAAAATTGATGGTACTAAGTATTGGAAAGGATCTAGAGCAACTGAAAGTTTCATACACTGTGAATCAGATGATAAATTGGTACAGCCACTTTGAAAATCTATTTTGCAAGCTCTATTATAGTTGAACATATAAAACCCAATGTCCCAGCAATTCCATTCTTAGATGTATGTGTATATGCATATACACACACACATATATATCCAAAATATGTACATATTTCTGCACAAGAATAACATACAAAAATATTCAGAAAATAAAGGTTTAAATATAAGATCTAAAACTGTGAACTTTTATAAGAAAGCAAAGGTGTAAATCTTTGTAACCTTGTATTATACAGTGGATCCTTAGATCTGACACCTAGAGTACATGAAACAAAAGAAAACAAAAAAAGATAAGTTGTGCTTCATCAACATTTCAAACTTTAATGGTAACATCAGGAGAGTGAAAAGACAGCCCACACAATGGGAGAAAACATTTCAGATCATATATCTGACAAGGCATTTATATCTAGAAGGCATGAAAAAAGCTTATAACTCAATAATAAAGAGGCAAATAACCCAATTATTTTAAGTGCAAAGAATCTGAATAGGCATTTCTCCAAGGAAGATATGCAAATGACCAATAAACCCATGTAAAGGTGTTCACTACCATTAACCACCAGGGAAATGCAAATAAAAACCACAGTGAGATACCATTTCACACTTGCTATAATGACTAATAAAAAAAGGTGACAATGACAAGTATGACTGAGGATGTAGAGAAAGGGAAACTTCAGACACTGCTAGTAGTCTGTAAAATAGTGTGCCTTCTTTGGAAAACAGTAGCAGTTTCTGAAAATGTCAAACCCAGGGTTATCATCTGACCAGTAATTCTACTCTGAGGTACATACCCAAGAGAAATGAAAATGTGCTCATAGAAAGAGTCTCAGACAGGCCTCCCTGGTGGCACAGGCGGTTGAGCGGCAGTGCTGTGAAGCTGTCCTCAGCCTCTGCAGTGCCGGTTTGATCCCCGCCAGCCTCAAAGCAACCCACATGGTGAGCAGACCTCTCCTGTCTCACCTGCTGCTCCCCTCAGCAGTGTATTTCATCAGTCTGCCTGTTCTGTTCCCCACTCTGCCTCTGGTGAATCCTCTCACATCTGGCCTGTACCCCAGTTCTTGTATAAATAAAATAAATCTTAAATAAAGTCTCAAACAAATGCTTATAGCAGCATATTCATTATAGCCAAGAATTGGAAACAACTCAAATGTTTATCAGCTGATTGAATAGATCATAAACTGTTCATATCCATACAATGGAATGTGAATTAGTGATAAAAAGGAATGCTGTCTAATACACGCTGTCACATAGATGAACCTTGACAATGTTATGTATGCCAAGTGAGAGAAGCCGGTCCCAAAAGACCTGATAATGCATGATTCTATTTATAGGAAATGTTCACCGTAGGGACTTTTATGTATCTGTTGAGGAAGCAGATTGGTGGTTGCCTCTGGCTGTGGGGGGTGGAAAGTGGCAGGAAAGGTGACTGCTAATGGGTACAGGGTTTCTTTTAGGAGCAATTAAAAATGTCCTGTTAATTGATGGTGGTAATGGTTGCAGGACTGCAAATATACTATAAGCCATTGAATTTTATACTTTAAGCAGGCAAATTAAATGGCATGTGAATTAAGTCTCAAACAAAGTTGTTATCAAAATGTTTTAGAAGTAGATAGTGAATGTAATTAATGTCACTGAATTGCACTTAGAAATAGTTAAAATGGCAAATTCTATCTAACACGTATTTTACCACAATTTAATCTTTGAAAAAAGAGGTTCACAAAAGTAATACTCAAAACAGCTAAATACTGGGAACACATACAGATTTTCATCAAAGATAAACAGTAATATTGAGGAATACCCATACTGTACATTCTTGCTATATTTATGCTATATATGAAAATGTCCAAATTCCTGCTACTTGTATCAATATAGTTGGATCTCATTAAAACAATGTTAAAGAAGAGAAATCCAACAGAAAAAGTACATGCTTTATTATTCCATTTTATTAAATTCGAAAGTAGACCAGACACATCTGTGGTGTTAGAAGACAGGAGAGTGGCTACTTTGGAGGAGGAAGGCAGTACCCAGCAGGGGACTTGAAAGAGGCTCTGCATCGTGGTGATATTTACTTTCTTGTCTGAGTGTTGATTAAGCAGGTATGATACTTTGTGAAAAGCCATCAAGCTGTACATGTATAATTTCTATAATTTTCTCTAAGTATGTTTGATTTCAGGTTTTTTTTTTTTTTTTAAGATTTATTTATTTATTTATTTATACAAGCACTGGGTATAGTCAGAAACACGGGAGGGTGAGAGAATTCACCAGAGCCAGAGCAGAACAGGCAGATGGACGAAGTACACTGCTGAGGGGAGCAGCGGGCGGCAGGAGAGGTCTGCGCGCCATGTGGGACCCTCGCCCTGCGGCCGGGGATCGAACCAGCGCTACAGAGGCTGCAGGCAGCTTCGCAACCCGGTGCTCAGTAGCTGCGCCACCGGGGAGGGCCGATTTCAGTTCTTTATATTTATTTTTAAAAGTCTTGAAAGTCCAACCCCCCCGTAAATTTTTTTTATGTAGATATTTTAATTTATTGTATACATATTAGGTATGTAATTAAAAAAGAAAAAATTATATGCTTGCAATGTGAGAAGACAATAAATAGATGATAGGTACTATTATACAAATGGAATAAATGAATAGAAGACTGTGATTTTTGAACCACATTCATATTACAATTTTAAAACTTATCTTTTACACTGGTCAATTATTTTTCAAGGTTGAAGGAAAAAGTATGACAGTTAAGTATTTGTTCAGAAGCTTAGGTAATTTGGTTGCTAGTATTTATGTGTGGGGAGAAAAAAAACTGTTTACTGTATGTAACTATATCACACCCCCGTAAATTTTAATGCACAGCCAGGCTGTAGCTTTTGTGTCCTTTTCCAAGTCACCAGTACGTTCTTGAAGATCCAACAGAAGATGTTTCCAAGTTGCCCAACTCTTTACTTGTCAATCTGTTATATGGAGCTATTACAGGAATCCCCCACTTTTCGAAAGTTCACTTTACACGTACACTTTGTTTTTATGAAGACCCACATTACTATCTGTTTTCACCAACCAAAAGGAACCCAAAGAGGACTTTGGCCTTTAGGCAAAAGGCTAAAACAGCATTCACATTTCATGGCAGAGCAATGAGTGTAGCTACCAAGTTCCTTACTCAGAAACTATACTCAGCATCTCAGCATCGAGCCACCGTAGCTTTTGAACAGAATCTGTTAGTACCTGTGCACTGCCTCAGTTTATTGGCATCCCTTAGCAAGATGTGCCCTAAGTATCAAAAAAAAAAAAAAAAAAAAAAAACTAAAAGAGACTTAGCTAAGTTTTCTGCAATGATTGCAGAAAAGTATGACTTCAATTTTCAAAGGGCACATAGATTTAGGGCAGGTTTGTAGGATGTTTTGTTCAGAGAACTGTGTGTTAGAAAATGCATAGGATTAAGCAGGCAAGCATGCCTTCTGTGATATTTCAGACCTCCTACATCAGCCATAGCAGATGACAAACCTTCCCCATGTCGGTGACCTATCCACCCCAATGGGGAACTTCAGATGACAATGATGTGATGCTAATGATGCTAATGGATAACCAACCCTCTTCCTCTCTCTCTCTCACCCCAGTCTCCTGGACCTCCCACTACCCTCGCCTCTGATCACTTGGCCTGACACACCACCATTCCCACCTCTCAGCCTGCAGTGTGCGCGACATCTTCCCTATTCTGGTAAGTGAAACTATACCATATGGGTTTTATTCTACTTTGCACAGGCTGGGCTTAGCTTGTATTGTTTACCTTATCATTCCCTCGTTTACTGTATGTTACTGCTATTTTAGGTTTTCTGTGTTTTTTGGTATGATTTGGCAGGTTGTTTATTTTTTAGGCACATTTAAAATTTTTTCATGTAAGTTAATGGTAGTTTCTTCTTTACCTTACACCATTTTTTTCATTTTTATTTATTTATTTATTTATTTATTTATTTATTTATTAATAATGAATTTTATTTTTATATTTCCCATACAATTGCAACCCCATTCTGACCCCAATCCCTCCCCTCCTGCCCCCCACCCCCCAAAGAGTATCTCTGGTTCATAGTTTTTTGTTGATTTTGATTTTCACTTTTTTTTTTTTTTTTTTTTTTTTTATAGAGGCATGTTTTATTTATTTATTTTATTTGTTTGTTTGTTTGCTTGTTTATACATGCACTGGGTACAGTCAGAAGCGCGGGAGGGTGAGAGAATTCACCAGAGCCAGAGCGGGGAGCAGAGCAGGCAGAAACGAAGTACACTGCTGAGGGGAGCAGCGGGCGGCAGGAGAGGTCTGCGCCATGTGGGACCCTCCTCTGGTGGCCGGGGAGCAGCCGGGGATTGAACCTGCGCTGCAGAGGCCGCGGGCAGCTTCGCAACCCAGCGCTCAACCGCTGCGCCACCGGGGAGGCCCTGATTTTCACTTTCTTATAGTTATTCATTTTCCTGGTCCCTTATTTAAGTTTTCTAGATTCCTGCTATGAGTGAGACCATCTGGTATTCTTTTTCTTTCTGGCTTATTTCGCTGAGCATGATCCCTTCCAGCGCCATCCATGTTGCTGCAAATTGCATGTGTTTATCTTTTTTGAATGCTGAGTAATATTCCATGGTATATATGTACCACATCTTCTTGATCCAGTCATCTATTTTGGGCATTTGTGTTGTTTCCAAAGCTTAGCTATTGTAAACAGTGTTGCTATAAACATAGGGGTGCAGGTGCTCTTTGGAATTGATGTTTCTGTGTCCTTTGGGTAAATACCTAGGAGTGGAATTGCTGGATCATATGGAAGCTCTATCTTTAGTAGGTCGAGGAATCTCCACACAGCTCTCCATAGTGGTTGAACCAGTTTGCACTCCCACCAACAGTGCAGAAGAGTTCCTTTTTCTCCACACCCTCGCCAACATTTGTTGTTGCTAGTTTTTTTTTAATATGTGCCATTCTCACTGGTGTGAGATGGTATCTCATGGTAGTTTTGATTTGCATTTCCCTGATGACAAGTGATGTTGAACATTTTTTCATATGTCTGTTGGCCATTTGCATTTCCTTTTCAGAGAAGTTTCTTTTTAGCTCTTCTGCCCATTTTTTGACTGGATTATTTTCTTTGTTTTTGTTGAGTCTCATCAGCTCTTTGCAGATTTTTGTGATCAGTCCTTTATCATTAGTGTTGGGTGCAAAATTGTTCTCCCAGTTGGTGGGGTTTCTCTTTGTTTTTGTTGTTGTCTCTTTTGCTGTGCAGAAGCTCTTTAATTTGATGTAGTCCCAGCTGTTGATCTTTGCCTTCACAATCACTGCTTTGGGTGATGTGTCTGTAAAGATGTCTTTGATGTGAATGTCATGTAGTGTTTCGCCTATATTTCCTTCTATGTATTTTATGGTTTCAGGTCTTATGTCTAGTTCTTTAATCCATTTTGAGTTGATTTTTGTGTATGGTTACCTTACACCATTTTGACTTATGAAATATCCCTGGGAACATTCTAATTTTGGATAGCAGGGGAAAAGTACTCCTTCCCCACCCCTCCCTGCCCTCACTGCTTGGTCAGTTAGTTACTTTTGCTATGTCTCTTCCTGTTTGATTTTACTCAGGAATCCTCAGCTTTTATAGCCTAACAAGTCCATTAGGTGTGTCCTAACGAAAAGACAGCTTTCCCCTTAATGGGTGTCTGCCATCTTTCTAGATTATCAAGTTCAAATTCCATCCTTCATTCCTATATATATATATATATATATATAAAATATGTGTGTGTACGTATACATAATATATATAAAATTCCCTTCATATATATATACATATCTCTATATTTAATGTAGTTCCTAACATGATGACTAACACATAATAAACATCCAATTAGTAGAGAAGGAAAACCTGAGGTCAGGAAGCTGCAAAAATTGGACTAAAGATCTGGAGCCAGAATTAGCTAATGAAAATAAACAACTGAAGGAACCAGGCTGTAGGAAGGAAGGGAAGAGGTTAGTAAGGTTAGGAAGTAGAAGTTAGTAAGTAATGTTGACCGTGTCCACCTCCCCTGAAATCCAGGAAATGTAAAATGGGACTCCGTTTGTCCCTCTTCCCTCTTCCCTCTTCCAGTAACAATTCCTCTTCCCAGGAATTGTGTGGCACTTATTGCTTAAAACTGCCAGGCTCTGGGCAGACCTATTTTATTTACATTATTTTGCATGCATAATGTGTGCAAGCAGCAGAGTTCTATTTCTCTCCAGTGCCTACCCTTCCTATAATCAGGCTTGACTGGCTAAATCTTGAAAAAGACTGTCAAAGATGGCTTGTGCAGACCAGGATGCCCTCTTCCTCGTAAGCATACACTGAAACTACACTTCCCAGACTCTCTTGCAGTTAAGCTATCACTTATGTCTGGGCTCTGCAATCTGAGCAGAAGTGAAAGAGACCCTTACAGACTGAGCCATGAAAATGCTCCAATGTGATGCTCACGCTCTCTCCCACCTGCCTGCCAATGGAGATGACACTAGTTGGGTGAAATCTTAATAAGGAATCATCTGAATCATTCTGAAGGTCCCTCACCCTGCCTGTTGCTCAGTGAGAAATAAGACTACCTATCATGTTAAAAGTTGGGGGCAGTATGTTGCCACAGTTACTTTCTTGTGACTAATTCAGAAACTGTGGTTACCTCTGTCTTTCCTGGCCCTGGAGTCTTCTTCCCAATCTCTCAGGACCGTTCCTCCTCGCACTGTCTAGTGAGGAAGCATCCTTATCAGCTACCTAGTGGCCCCAAATCTCCCACATCTAAGCCAGCCTCACTTTGGAAGAATTCCAGGACCTCAAGCATAAAACCAGTTGGGGGTAAGTAAGAAAAGAATGGAAACCCATTCCAAAGGAATCAAATAGGCTTCTGGGTCTAGAAGTTCCACTCATGAGGATTTATCCTGAGAAGATTAATCAACAGGAGCAAAAAGATGTTCACTGAAGCTTCAAGCATACCAGCAAAATAATCAGAACCTGCTGAAATACTCAGTCACAGGGGGAAGTTCAGTAAATTAGGATCTATTCACTCACTAGACATTATGAAGTAATTACACAACAACTAGGAAGTCTATATAACAAGACGGAAATTTTATTAATGCACTGTTAAATGCTAAAGCAGATTATAAAAATGCTTTTATAATAGTTAGCACTACGTAAAATTACATATGCATGTGGATGAAAGGCAGGCAACAAAAAAAATCAAAACAGCTTGATTTGTCAAGAAACTTAAAACGTGCTTTTCTTTCATTTTGAAAACTGTTAATGCATTCATAATGCTTTCTGCACAAAATGAAACTTTTTTCCTTAAATGATATTCATTACGAGTTAGATGAAGTGATTATCAAATCAAAGTAATTCACAAAACATTAGCTTCCCAATAGGTATTTATGTTTTTAAAAGAGGAGTTTAGGGATGCTGAGGTTTCAAGTTGGTAGAAAGCATGGGGATGCATCTTTGGTCAGGAGACCTGTTCTCTCTGTTCCTACTTCTTAGAAACGAGGAACAATATTGGGTTGTTGAGGCAGAAATTAGACTCAAGGATCATTCATTTGCCTGGACTCTTTCAATGGGCATTCAGTAATGCAGGAAAAAGACAAAGTTCAGGATCTCCCCGGTGGTGCAGAAGGTTGAGTACAGCGCTGTGAAGCTGTCCGCAGCCTCTGCAGCATGGGTTCAATCCTGGCCAGCTGGCAAGAATCCCACAAGGCGCGGCAGACCTCTCCTATTTCGCCCGCTGCTCCCTTCGGCAGTATATTTCAGTCCTTCTGCCTGTTCTGCTCCCTGCTCTGTCTCTGGTGAATCCTCTCACCTTCCCGTGCCTCTGGCCTGTAACTCAGCTCTTGTATAAATAAAATAAAAAAATAAAATAAAATAAAAATAAATACATCTTTAAAAAAAAAAAGGAAAAAAAGAAACAAGAATAATAATTAAAAAAAAGACAAAGTTCGAAGTTCTCAGCCAGCCAATAACTTTTTCAGCCAGGCTGTTTTCCTGAGGTCAGGAAAACAGAAATATTTGTCTAGGTCTTTTAAGCAGAAAGGAATTTAATGCATGGAATTTGATGTTTACTAAACGATTGAAAGGTACCAAAGAAGCAAACACCAGGGAAAGCCATGCTGGCTATCTGACTTACATCTAGATATCAGAAGCAGGAAATCACAGCAGCCAGGGGAAATTAGCAATGATCACAGTTGGCTGAACATCTAGTGTGATTTCCAGAGGACAGTCTAAACCTCTGAAATGCCTCACATCTGCTGAAGCCACACATTCATCACTGCCAAGGGAGCAATACGGGGGCTCCCACCTGCCTTGTGTATCCCAAGTCTTGTGCAAGAGCCTCTGATAAGTGGAATGTAACATAGAACCCTATGGAATATTCTAGTACTCACTCTTCCAGCATAGGGGTGAGTAAGTAAGACCATGTTGGCTGCCAGTAGACAAGCTAATATAACTGTCCTAACAACAGGGGAGCTTGTCTCCTACCTGTCCAACCTGAGTGCTGAGAAGCAAGTTTTCTCGACATTCAGGACCTTAAATAAAAGCCATTTGCTTAGTTCTAATTCTCAGACAGGAAGAACTTCCTCCCATTCTTCTTCCCCTCCTATTATTGCAAGGACACCTTTGGGGTGAGACTTCCAAGGCCATTGAATCTTTCCTTGCAGAGAAGAGATGTTCTTCCCAGGACCTATCCTGGCTGGTTGGT